AAAGTGATTTAAGGAAACACTAGACTATTTTTTCTGGAGCCAATAAACGTGTTTGTGCATCTTTATATTCTCATGTTTCTGCCCTTCTTCAATACATTTACTTCAATTAAGTAACTAGACCATTTACAACTTTACATGTACACATTCGATTCAGTTCAAATCAATTTTATTTGTGTAGCGCTTTTTACAGTGGACATTGTCTCAAAGCAGGATTCGTTTGACTTCCTTTACGTCAATGCAATTTCCCAGGATGGAAGATGTGTTTGGCACGAGCTTGTTTGATGAATGCCAAGGTGCTTTGTTGCTCATCTTCATAAAGATTCTCTGCATTAAGACTCAGGTTCATAGCAGGCTTCAACTTGCACAGGTAAAGCCCCAGTGCAGTTCAAGTCCAGTGCCATAGTCTGTTGGCCATCACGGGTATGGGGCACAGGACAAGGCTTAAGCGGCGGGCCTAACCATTCTATTGGACCGTCTTTACAAGCCTTAGCAGGAATGGAGCATAAGACAGGGCTTAAGTGCAACTCCTTGGCCAAGCGTCTTTTCAAGCCTTTTCAAGCCATTTCTAACCCCAACCCTAAGCTGTACATGATGTGAAAGAAAACGTGATTCCTCAGACCAAGCCACCTTCTTACTGCTCAAGGGTGCAACGGTTAATACACATCATTTAATACTTGACGTAAAACACAGTTACAAAACATTTAACTCAAAGGAGCTACGCCACTCACCAGCGGTAGCAGTCAGTAATTCCAGCAAATATCCTGTTTTACCATTTAATACATTTCTAGTATGTTAAGAGAGATAATACAGTTTAGTTGTTAGCTTACATTTAGTGTGAATGGTTGAGCAGCGGGCCTAACCATTCTATTGGACCGTCTTTACAAGCCTTAGCAGGAATGGAGAGTAAGACAAGGCTTAAGTGCAACTCCTTGGCCAAGCGTCTTTTCAAGCCTTTTCAAGCCATTTCTAACCCCAACCCTAAGCTGTACATGATGTGAAAGAAAACGTGATTCCTCAGACCAAGCCACCTTCTTACTGCTCAAGGGTGCAACGGTTAATACACATCATTTAATACTTGACGTAAAACACAGTTACAAAACATTTAACTCAAAGGAGCTACGCCACTCACCAGCGGTAGCAGTCAGTAATTCCAGCAAATATCCTGTTTTACCATTTAATACATTTCTAGTATGTTAAGAGAGATAATACAGTTTAGTTGTTAGCTTACATTTAGTGTGAATGGTTGAGCAGCGGGCCTAACCATTCTATTGGACCGTCTTTACAAGCCTTAGCAGGAATGGAGCGTAAGACAGGGCTTAAGTGCGACTCCTTGGCCAAGCATCTTTTCAAGCCTTTTCAAGCCATTTCTAACCCCAACCCTAAGCTGTACATGATGTGAAAGAAAATGTGATTCCTCAGACCAAGCCACCTTCTTACTGCTCCACTGTCCTGTGCTGATGCTCATGTGCAGTTTCTATGAGCTTTTGATGGAAGAAACTGGCCAGCATAGCTAGTGTAGAGGCCACCATTTTCTTGGTTTTCGTCCCTTGTTGTCTAGTGGTAAGGATTCGGCGCTCTCACCGCCGCGGCCCGGGTTCGATTCCCGGTCAGGTAAGGTGATTTAAGGAAACACTAGACTATTTTTTCTGGAGCCAATAAACGTGTTTGTGCATCTTTATATTCTCATGTTTCTGCCCTTCTTCAATACATTTACTTCAATTAAGTAACTAGACCATTTACAACTTTACATGTACACATTCGATTCAGTTCAAATCAATTTTATTTGTGTAGCGCTTTTTACAGTGGACATTGTCTCAAAGCAGGATTCGTTTGACTTCCTTTACGTCAATGCAATTTCCCAGGATGGAAGATGTGTTTGGCACGAGCTTGTTTGATGAATGCCAAGGTGCTTTGTTGCTCATCTTCATAAAGATTCTCTGCATTAAGACTCAGGTTCATAGCAGGCTTCAACTTGCACAGGTAAAGCCCCAGTGCAGTTCAAGTCCAGTGCCATATTCTGTTGGCCATCACGGGTATGGGGCACAGGACAAGGCTTAAGCGGCGGGCCTAACCATTCTATTGGACCGTCTTTACAAGCCTTAGCAGGAATGGAGCATAAGACAGGGCTTAAGTGCAAATCCTTGGCCAAGCGTCTTTTCAAGCCTTTTCAAGCCATTTCTAACCCCAACCCTAAGCTGTACATGATGTGAAAGAAAACGTGATTCCTCAGACCAAGCCACCTTCTTACTGCTCAAGGGTGCAACGGTTAATACACATCATTTAATACTTGACGTAAAACACAGTTACAAAACATTTAACTCAAAGGAGCTACGCCACTCACCAGCGGTAGCAGTCAGTAATTCCAGCAAATATCCTGTTTTACCATTTAATACATTTCTAGTATGTTAAGAGAGATAATACAGTTTAGTGTGTAAGCTTACATTTAGTGTGAATGGTTGAGCAGCGGGGCCTAACCATTCTATTGGACCGTCTTTACAAGCCTTAGCAGGAATGGAGCGTAAGACAGGGCTTAAGTGCAACTCCTTGGCCAAGCATCTTTTCAAGCCTTTTCAAGCCATTTCTAACCCCAACCCTAAGCTGTACATGATGTGAAAGAAAACGTGATTCCTCAGACCAAGCCACCTTCTTACTGCTCCACTGTCCTGTGCTGATGCTCATGTGCAGTTTCTATGAGCTTTTGATGGAAGAAACTGGCCAGCATAGCTAGTGTAGAGGCCACCATTTCCTTGGTTTTCGTCCCTGGTTGTCTAGTGGTAAGGATTCGGCGCTCTCACCGCTGCGGCCCGGGTTCGATTCCCGGTCAGGGAATGGTTTTTATCCACCGCTGGCCAAATTAACATTTAAAAAGAAACCATATCACACAGAGAAATCCGTCCTTCGAGCCGGATTGGAACCAGTGACCTGAGGATGACTAGTTTAAGTACCTACAGTCCTCCGCTCTACCAACTGAGCTATAGGAGGTGAAGCGAAGCTCAATCCATGTATATCTATAAAACCATTCGGTATATCGATATATAAGGTGCGAATTTATCTCAACTGAGCAAGCCACTAAGTGGTGACGGTGGCAAGGAAAAACTCCCTAAGATGTTAAGAGGAACAAACCTTGAGAGGAACCAGAATCAGAAGGGAACCTATCCTCATCTGGGTAACATCAGATAGTGTGAAAAAGATGATTAGGGATTCATATGGAGTCTCTTTGGCCTTAGAAGCAGCTGTAGTCCCAGCAATCTGGAATTGGAGTAGATGAGAGCTCCATCCAGAGGTAGGCCATCCAAAATGGATCAGGTAGGTCCAGAGAGCAGAGGGGATCAGGATCTCTAGTATCTCCATAAAATCGGGTGTGGCTCGACAGAAGGAGGGAGGGAGAGAAAAAAAACTAGGACTGTGCTTAGCATAAGAGAAAGTCTAGTCAGGGTAGGCTTGATTAAACAAATACGATTAAAGCCTAGACACTGAGACTGTGCCTGAGTCCCGAACTCTAATTGGAAGACTGTTCCATAAGTGTGGGGCTCCAGAAGAGAAAGCTCATCCTCCTGTTGTAGCCTTCGCTATTCGAGGTACGAACAAATAGCCTGCATCTTTTGATCTAAGTAGGCGGGCGGATCATAGAAAAGCAAAAGGTCGCTTAGATACTGCGGTGCGAGACCATTTAGTTAATTATGGGTTACTAATAGTATTTTATAATATAAAGTATTTTATAGTTATCTTTGATAAGTGAGCTAGCAAACGATCGATTTTCTATTCGAATTTTGCTCTTCACAAGCAAAGCGGCAAAGCGATTTAAGGAAACACTAGACTATTTTTTCTGGAGCCAATAAACGTGTTTGTGCATCTTTATATTCTCATGTTTCTGCCCTTCTTCAATACATTTACTTCAATTAAGTAACTAGACCATTTACAACTTTACATGTACACATTCGATTCAGTTCAAATCAATTTTATTTGTGTAGCGCTTTTACAGTGGACATTGTCTCAAAGCAGGATTCGTTTGACTTCCTTTACGTCAATGCAATTTCCCAGGATGGAAGATGTGTTTGGCACGAGCTTGTTTGATGAATGCCAAGGTGCTTTGTTGCTCATCTTCATAAAGATTCTCTGCATTAAGACTCAGGTTCATAGCAGGCTTCAACTTGCACAGGTAAAGCCCCAGTGCAGTTCAAGTCCAGTGCCATAGTCTGTTGGCCATCACGGGTATGGGGCACAGGACAAGGCTTAAGCGGCGGGCCTAACCATTCTATTGGACCGTCTTTACAAGCCTTAGCAGGAATGGAGCATAAGACAGGGCTTAAGTGCAACTCCTCGGCCAGGGGCCTTTTCAAGCCTTTTCAAGCCATTTCTAACCCCAACCCTAAGCTGTACATGATGTGAAAGAAAACGTGATTCCTCAGACCAAGCCACCTTCTTACTGCTCAAGGGTGCAACGGTTAATACACATCATTTAATACTTGACGTAAAACACAGTTACAAAACATTTAACTCAAAGGAGCTACGCCACTCACCAGCGGTAGCAGTCAGTAATTCCAGCAAATATCCTGTTTTACCATTTAATACATTTCTAGTATGTTAAGAGAGATAATACAGTTTAGTTGTTAGCTTACATTTAGTGTGAATGGTTGAGCAGCGGGCCTAACCATTCTATTGGACCGTCTTTACAAGCCTTAGCAGGAATGGAGAGTAAGACAAGGCTTAAGTGCAACTCCTTGGCCAAGCGTCTTTTCAAGCCTTTTCAAGCCATTTCTAACCCCAACCCTAAGCTGTACATGATGTGAAAGAAAACGTGATTCCTCAGACCAAGCCACCTTCTTACTGCTCCACTGTCCTGTGCTGATGCTCATGTGCAGTTTCTATGAGCTTTTGATGGAAGAAACTGGCCAGCATAGCTAGTGTAGAGGCCACCATTTTCTTGGTTTTCGTCCCTGGTTGTCTAGTGGTAAGGATTCGGCGCTCTCACAACCGTCTCTTCACGCGCAAGTAGGATTTCCTCGTTATTATAGTGGACAGTATCTCCGCCTGTCACGGAAGACCGGGTTCGATTCCCGACGGGAGTCTGTTTGCTAACACCGGGTGCTCTATTCTTTTGCACACCACGCGAAAGAACCATGAGACGAGGCTTAAGTGCAATTCCTTGGCTTTTTTATGTTTTGGTCATTTCCCACGTGCCAAGCGTCTTTACAAGCCTTACCAGGAATGGAGCGTAAGACAAGGCTTAAGTGCAACTCCTTGGCCAAGCGTCTTTACAAGCCTTAGCAGGAATGGAGAGTAAGACAAGGCTTAAGTGCAACTCCTTGGCCAAGCGTCTTTTCAAGCCTTTTCAAGCCTTATATCCCTTTTTACCATTAAATACATTTCTAGTATGTTAAGAGAGATAATACACTTTAGTCGTTAGCTTACATTTAGTGTGAATGGCTGAGCGGCGGGCCTAACCATTCTATCGGACTGTCTTTACAAGCCTTAGCAGGAATGGAGCGTAAGACACGGCTTAAGTGCAACTCCTTGGCCAAGCGTCTTTACAAGCCTTTTCAAGCCATTTCTAACCCCAACCCTAAGCTGTACATGATGTGAAAGAAAACGTGATTCCTCAGACCAAGCCACCTTCTTACTGCTCCACTGTCCTGTGCAGTTTCTATGAGCTTTTGATGGAAGAAACCTTAACACAGCGCCTTAGACCACTCGACCATCCTGACTAAAAGACCCAAAAACTATGCAAAGGAAATTCCAAACTATGCAGGGGCATTTATTTAAACAAGCTCTCAGGAACAGCCCAATACCCCCTCATCAGAGGTGCAGCAAAGGAACCAAATGTCAGAAATGGGATTTGAACCCACGCTTCCAGTGGAGACTGCGACCTGAACGCAGCGCCTTAGACCGCTCGGCCATCCTGACACACATAAGCTACAGTGTCGTGGACCATGCTCGGGTATAGCCAATACTTTCCAAATAAAGCACAATTAGATTACTTGAAATAAAAGCACTGATTTCATCAATAAGTGCTACGCTTTGGGGCAGTCTCATCTGTGTATTTGTCATTACTTACTTTGTGTGAGTCCTGCGATGTTTCTCAGCTGAAAGTCACCCTAATTGTAGCACATTTACTGCAGTTTTAAAGTAAGTGCTAGCAAGTTGGGGCATAAGCGTGAGCTGTTAGTTTGAAGGGGAAATCAGTGTCAGGTGTTTTCAGTCTATGGCATAACCAAGCCACCTTCTTACTGTTCAAGGGTGCAACGGTTAATACACATCATTTAATACTTGATGTAAAACACAGTTACAAAACATTTAACTCAAAGGAGCTACGCCACTCACCAGCGGTAGCAGTCAGTAATTCCAGCAAATATCCTGTTTTACCATTTAATACATTTCTAGTATGTTAAGAGAGATAATACAGTTTAGTTGTTAGCTTACATTTAGTGTGAATGGTTGAGCAGCGGGCCTAACCATTCTATTGGACCGTCTTTAACGACCTTTCCAGGGATGGAGCGTAAGACAAGGCTTAAGTGCAACTCCTTGGCCAAGCTGCTTACAAGCCTTACCAGGAATGGAGCGTAAGACAAGGATTAAGTGCAACTCCTGGGCAGCGGCCTTTTCAAGCCTTACCAGGAATTGAGCGTAAGACAAGGATTAAGTGCAACTCCTGGGCAAAGCGTCTTTTCAAGCCTTTTCAAGCCATTTCTAACCCCAATAAAGTTTATTATTATTATTATTATTATTATTATTATTATTATTATTATTATTATAACCCTAAGCTGTACATGGTGTGAAAGAAAACATGATTCCTCAGACCAAGCCACCTTCTTACTGCTCCATGGTCCTGTGCTGATGCTCATGTGATTTTCTATGAGCTTTTGATGGAAGACACTGGCCAGCATAACCAGTGTAGAGGCCACCATTTTCTTGGTTTTCATCCCTGGTTGTCTAGTGGTAAGACCTGTGTTTAAGTTGTATAAACACAATCATACATATATAAACACAATCACGAGCGACACCCTCAGGAAACACAAGCACATGAATAAGGCAGGTAATCAAACTAAACCCAACACCTGCCGTGAGATCACATTCACACTAACCACACCTGCCCGACTCAACTGCACCCCAGCATGTCAACTACATTATGAACAGTCTTATCAACAAAGTGCAGCATGTCATAAGTGGGATTTGAACCCACACCTCCAGAAGAAACTGAAACCTTAACACAGCGCCTTAGACCACTCGACCATCCTGACTAAAAGACCCAAAAACTATGCAAAGGAAATTCCAAACTATGCAGGGGCATTTATTTAAACAAGCCCTCAGGAACAGCCCAATACCCCCTCATCAGAGGTGCAGCAAAGGAACCAAATGTCAGAAATGGGATTTGAACCCACGCTTCCAGGGGAGACTGCGACCTGAACGCAGCGCCTTAGACCGCTTCGCCCATCCTGACACACTTAAGCTACAGTGTCGTGGACCATGCTCGGGTATAGCCAATACTTTCCAAATAAAGCACAATTAGATTACTTGAAATAGAAGCACTGATTTCATCAATAAGTGCTACTCTTTGGGGCAGTCTCATCTGTGTATTTGTCATTACTTACTTTGTGTGAGTCCTGCGATGTTTCTCGGCTGAAAGTCACCCTAATTGTAGCACATTTACTGCAGTTTTAAAGTAAGTGCTAGCAAGTTGGGGCATAAGCGTGAGCTGTTAGTTTGAAGGGGAAATCAGTGTCAGGTGTTTTCAGTCTATGGCATAACAATCAGGTGTGAGTGAGTACCATGTCTGATTTGAGGAACAGGGATCAGTCAAAGTCTGACCTTCACAACACATGTTTGTTAAAGTGTATCATGCTAGGCAAAAATTTTATTTGTGAGGATCTGGGAAAAGGCTTTCGGATGAGGTGGCCGTACCCTCCGGCGAACGGACTGGCAATCAGTTCCTAACGCATCCTAACGCAGTTCAAAGAGGTCCTAACAAAGTCCTAACACATTCCTAACAAAGTCCTAACACATTCCTAACAAAGTCCTAACAGTTCCTAACCCTCATGCACCGGGGGCCAACGGCCATTGGTCGAGCGTAGTGGGTGGAAAATCACGTGATTAATAAAACGAGAGAAGGAATTTGCAGGAGCCATTTTTCACGATCCTCGGAGAAGTACACAGCGCTACACAGATATTTATATATATTTTATAAAGCTTTTTTTAAGATTTTTTTGTACCTTTGGATAGATTCGAGGTGAGTCTGATCATTAATTTAACTAAACTTATTGTTATAGGTGCTTTAATATTGACCTAAATATGAGGCCAGCCATTTATATTGTGCTATGAATGTACGGGCTGCTTTAAGTTATACTATATAGAATAATATTAACAATGACAGCAATAATGACGAATGGAATACAGAGTGGGACAGAGTGTCTGGTGTTTTAAAATGCCGCCAGAGAGAATTCGCGTTTTTTTCTGATGTGAACTCGCGGTTTTTTCTGATGAGCAAACGCCATCCAAACCGATGAAAACTCCTGCCTAGAATTTCATTTAAACTCATTTGGTTGTATCATAAGTAAAGGTGAACAGTTGGGAGAAAAAAAAAGTCGGTTAATGTGTTAATGAGGGACACGCTTGTGGTTGTGTGCACGGAGTTTGCATGCTCATGTTCCGTTTAGCGGTTTCTTCTTCTTCTTCAAAATTGCACCTTGAGAAAAATCTAGTGCATTTCTGGGCAAAACTTAGCCAATTTTCGTAGAAGAGAGTACCCAGTACTGCCCCGTTAGTGCACGGTCCTGCTCCCCCGGAGACACACTCTCTCTGCGGCTCCTCTGTACAGTGAGGGGCAGAGAGGAGCAGCTCATTCATCCACTTCAAACTTTCTCTCCCGAGTGATCATTTTACAGATAGCCGAAAACACAGCACAGCCGCTGTATTTAAATTATCATCTAGTAACTGGAAAAGGCAGCATATAAAATGTGCTTGTGTTTTATTTTTATTATATTGTTATTATATTGTTGTATTATTATTATTATTATTATTACTTAAATAAAGAATATGTTTGAATTACATCTTGTAGAGTCCTTGAAAACAAAAACAATTGTGCTTGAAAAGTTTTTGAATGTCCTGGAATTTAAATATGAAGCACCCCTTCCAGCGTGTCCCCCGCCTTGTGCCCCAAGCCCCTGGGATAGACTCCAGGCTCCATGAGACACGGTGTAGGATAAGCGCTACAGAAAATGGATGGACGTGTCAAAATATTTTATTCAAACAGTAAAAAGGAAATCTCCTCAGTGTTAACCGATTCACGTTATAGTTTACTTTATCATTGATACTGCTTTTAGATAACTAAAAACTTTTAGCACTCTTTAGTTTAGTTTAAACATTATTATCTATTCTATTTACAATGTAAGATTGTATTTGATGCTGACATAAAATAAATTCATACATAATTAGGTAACCGTCCATGTACATAAAGAAACATGAATTATAGAATTATATTCATGTCATCACTAACCTAAAAATGAGCTCAAGTTGACTGATATTTAGCCTGTTGTTTCACATTTGCAGACATGACGGCGACCGGCAAACCAGACGTGTACTGGTATGACATCCTTTGCAAGTATGCGCCCAAGGGAAGTACCACTTCACAACAGGCAAGAAGCCAGGAGCAAAGAAGTGGAAGGCTGCGTTGCACAGTATTGATAACTGTCCATCACACAAGCAGACCCGTATTTACGACATGTTTGGGAAAATAATCCCTTGCAAATGCGGTTATCACAAGGTATGTAATGATAAACATGATCATTTTACCTGTGCTGGTGACCATTGCCATATAAAGGTAATATTACTATATTTCTTCCAGTATGTACATTTTCATAACAGAAGCATGTTCATTATTTATGTTTGTATTGTGTCAATAAAAAAAGAGTAATGTTGTTTGAAACGCTGGAAATATTTTCAGACCTAGGGAGAAACTAACACTTTTTCCAGTCTGCTCAACAGACAGGGAATCAGCCTGAGCAGCCAGCCCCACAGACCAGTACAGTCGTGCAGCCAGTCCCACAGACCAGTACAGTCGTGCAGCCAGTCCC